CGGGCAGCGGCGTCATAATCGGCACCGACACGGGCAAACCAGTCCGCCCAACAGTTGCCGATGAAACATTCATAATCAAATCCAGTGGCCCCTCCGTCAACTAAGTCGCTCCACTCACGGTGAGCAGGGGTCCACACAAAATTTGGCCTCTCCGAGACATCACGGTACACCTCAAAAACCTTCCTCCATATGGAGGCGTGCGGCGACGAGCCTAGGGCCAGCTGGGCGGACCAGCCATTCCCCTCATTCACCACATTCAAATGATCAGACACTACCTGGGCGTCCCGTGGGCCGTGCCTAAGAGCTTGGTAGATCGCGTGGCGCTCGGCCCTGGGCACCGACTGGAGCCGCCCAGGGAGGGCCCCGTAGACCGCTCGAACGGGGGGCCCAGAAGGGCCCAACTCCACGGCGGCCCATCCACGCCGACGCAACTCGGGGCTGTTGTTGGCCAGCCCCGAGCCGTCCGCGAAGATGCGCCTCCCGAGCGGCTCGTAGACGCGGCCCCAAGAGCAGACGGGGCTATCATCGGGCACGGGGGGGGGGGGGGGGGGGGTCGCAGCCTGCTCCAGCGGGGGGCCGTGGGCCACCTCGACCATGTCCCAATCGGGCTCGCCGAGACCAGACACCCCCTTCATCCCGAATGGCCGACCGCAGCTCCAGGACGTCCTCAGGATAAACGCACCCCTGGCTCCGTGGGTAATCCATGACCCCCGCGCAGTCGTACCACTGGTGACCTAGGGTCCCACGAGCGCCAGAGGAGCAGGACTTACACTTATTATCAGAATCGTAGCCTGCTTGGACTCTCCGAGCAGGGGGGCGCAGGGAGCATCCAACAAGGCACCTAGCAGCCCCTGAAGTTTACTATCTCTGATCTTCAGGACTCCGTGGCGCAATCCTCTCATCCAAACAGTTTCAGTGCCGCTCGACTCTGGCACATGCTGCAAGATGCGGGTCGCTTGCCAACGTGAGATCCCTTGCCTCAGCAACTCTCTGAGGTCGAGGGGCGAGACGCGGAGGAGGGGGGGGGGTTGCCGAGGTCATCTACTAAAATGTACGCGGAGAACATAGACCACCCTATTCGATATGAAGACAGCCACGCTGCCGAAACCGGTCCTTTGCACTGGTGCCAGGTCTTGCGAACATTCAAGCGCGCGCTGACCGAACACCACGCGTGCTGCAAGGTGCTGAGGGGGAACAAATCGTCCCACATAGCTGACGCATACCTGATCAGCAGCGGGATGGTGGCCTCGTGCGCAGGGTCAAAACATCTGTCCCTTTGCGTGGCCAGCCACGAGGTGAGAGCGCCAGACCTCTTCGCGCCCACTCAGGTTCCAGCCAGAGTGCTCAGGGACATAAGCGTGATATCCGTCAGGCCACTCACTCCAGCCCCGCGTGCCCCCGCTGGCAAAAGACCCGTCCTCCAGAGCGTGCCAACTTTGGACGGGGCGCCCCTTCGAAGGGCCTGGAGTTTCGGCCGACGTTTCAACAACTTATTCAACCTCGCCTGCTCCATCCCTCTCAACGGACGGCCGCTAAATACTTCGTGCCCCAAGTGGCGCATGTTTTCTCCTGCCTCGGATCTCCATCGCCCTCGCCAGCGGGGCTAGCTTAGCAGCAGCACGGGCCGTCGAAGCCACAAACCCGCTTTTTGAAACCTGCGGCACGAGCCCCAGGCGGAAGACTTTCCGACAAAACCAGGTGGCGGCCCCGAGGAGCGGACCCGAATCCATAGGCGAGTCCCCGATCCACTGAAAACTAGCATCGTCCATCAGGACGCGGGGCCGAATGTTCCTATACAATGCGCAGAGGCGTGCTGTAACTCTGTGAAGCAGGAGCTGCATGAGAGTATCAGCATGAGAGCACCCCGCGTGTATCCCCATGGAAGCTGGCGGCCTCCCTGGAAAGCGACCCGAACGCCTGTGCGGCCCTGGGGCACCGATAAAGCGCCAACAGCATCCAGATCAACCGAAGGGGATGCTCTAAAAGGCGGGCCTCTTCTACAAGCATGCTTGCAATTTTACACTCGTAACACTTGCGCATATTCACAAGCGCCGACATAGCGTGCTTACCTACTGCTACTGCTGCTTCAGCTCCTAGATTATGTGAGAAGGCTGCGTCAGACGACAACGACGCTCTTCCGCAACCCCAGAACGCTGGGTGCTTGTTTCTCATCTGCCACTCTGCGGACAACGGGCGTCGCAATCGCCCCCAGATCCTGGCGAGGCTGTTGAGCAACGCGATGAGTCTGTGCCCTCCGTCAGGCTTCCCCAATCTGACCAGTTTTGTGCGAATGCGATTGGGCGGCCAACACAGCGACCTCTCGCATGCAACAAAGAGCTCCCCCATCGCCATCAGCCCCTCGTCCGAGACCACGTCCAGCGAACGGGGATGGAGCCGAAGTTGACCCAGAGCGGTCTTGGTCGGGAAGCTCCGGAACACTTTTCTGATCTGCCCGACCTCGAATTGCGGCAAACACTCCCAAGCATGTGCATCAGC